GGTTTCATTTTTACAATTTCTAGATGTCTCGTCAAACGTTGCCATTATACTCCTCTACGACCCGTCCACGGTCTCTTCTCTTTATTTTCATTGAGATTTTAAAAATCAAACATAATTATCGTTTGGGTTTATTTTTACTTTCTAAAAGTCCCGCCAAACCATCAGCGGCTTTACCATTGTACTCCTCTACAGCGCGCCCACTGCCTCCCTTCTTTATTGTCATTGAGATTTTAAAATCGAACATGTTTATCATTGTTTTTTTTTACTTTTTGGAAGTTTCGAACCTTTAAAAATTGGACCTTTAGTATTATTTTTTATAATTTTTAGAAGTCCCAGCAAACGATGCCACTATGCCCCTCTACAACCCGGCCGCTGCCTACTCTTTATTGTCATTGTGATTCTAAAAATCGAACATAACTAACGTTGGAATTCATTTTTTATTTTCTAGAAGTCTCGTCAACCGTCGGTGACTCTACAACTATACTCTTATACACCCCGCCCGCTGCTTCTCCTTTTTATTGTCATTGAGATTTTAAAAATCGAATATGATTATCAATGGGGTTTATTTTTTTAACTTTCTAGAAGTCCCGAGAACCGCGTTACTCGTTTGCTTCATGGCCTGCCTGACGTCCCTCCTTTTAATTGTCACTAGGATTCTATTTGGTGTTTTATTAACAATTTTTATATGTCGTATGAACCGTCACCACTCTACTCCTTTATAGGCCTGCTACTTAATTTATCTCGTCATGTGTCACAAATTTTAGTTATTTAGAAATTGCATTCCTAATTGAAATCTTATTTTTATTTTTCTAATTTCAGATTTTTTTTAAAAAAATAGTTAATATCGTATTGTGTTCTTTTAATGTTTTTATTTTCAATTTCAGTTGTTTCAAAATTGTATTCCTACTTGAACTCTCTTTTAATTTTTCTAATTTTAGATATTATTTTATTTTTAATTTTAAAATTTAATTAATCTCGTATTGGGTTCTTATATGGATTCTTCTTTCAATATTGCTTATTTTTAATTCCGAATTTCAACTAATTTTAAATTGTGTTCCTACTTGAACTTTTCTTTTATTTTCTTTTGCTAATTTCAGATTTATTTATTTTTATTCCGAATTTTAATTAACCTCGTATTGGGTTCTTATATGGACTCTAATTTTAATATTCCTTATTTCTAATTTCGAATTTCAGCTATTTTTAAATTATATTCTTACTTGGACTCTCATTTCCTTTTCTAATTTTGGATTTTATTTTATTTTTATTTCGAATGTTGATTAATTTCATTTTGGGTTCTTATATGGAAACTTCTTTCAATATTGCTTATTTTTAATTCCGAATTTCTCTTATTTTTAAATTGTATTTCTATTTGGACTATCTTTTCCTTTTCTAATTTTAGATTTTATTTTATTTTTATTTCGAATTTTGATTAATCTCGTATTGGGTTTTTATATGGAAACTTCTCTCAATATTGCTTATTTTTTATTCCGAATTTCAGCTATTTTTAGATTGTAGTTCTACTTGGACTGTCCTTTTTTTTTTCTTTTTCTCCGATTGATGTGAGAATTTCTAGCTCCCACGGTAAACGTTGTGTATCCTTTCAAAGCTGTTTTAATAATATAATAGATAGATAGATAGGTATAAATTTTAGCATCTCCTTTGACTAATCATACACACAACCAATGTCAGATAAACTAAAAAGAATTACAGAATTAGAAAAATGGCGAGTGAAACTAACATAGTCTTTCCGTTCCAAAATATATGATTTTATATGACATGGTGCTTGTAATGCACAAAAATCCGAGCTTTCAATCAATCATAAGCTTGGGAAAGCAATCTAAACAATTCAATATTTTACCAATGGCGTGACTGAAAATATATTTTCCCTTATTCTTAATATTTACTAAACAATCTGAAAGTACTTATATTTTATTTTAGAACAGATAGCATACATATTATTTTGTTTATCCATTTGAGATCACCAATGTTTTTTTTTCAAATCTGTTTGAGATCATGTTGCCATCTGCCACAATTCCCACGCATATCACTATATGAGCCATCCAATTGCTTTTTATTAAAAAAAATGGTTTCGTTGGTTGTGGCGGTGGTAAAATTTGGGCCAATGGCTGATTTACAGCTAAGTTAAGCTGTGATATTATTTTACGTTTCAGTTCGATATCAGTCACAACTAGTGTGATGCTTATAAAATTTGATCGGCACAACAATTGGCAGTTGGTTTTAGATATTTTGTTTCCCTAGTTTGAGGAACACATGAACTACATGTGACTTGCAAGCCATTGCGCAGAAACATCGGTTACATAAATTTCCGTCAATCATAGATAGAGGTTTAGCAATAGATATTACTTATGTCTTTAGGCTGGTGTTTTAAGTAGTTTGTTTTAGTAATTTGCACTCGTTCAACCTACCACCTATAATAATTGGTTATAACTTTCTTCCAAAAAAAAGAGGATAAAACGAATTCCATTATCCGAAAATATCAGCCTACCAACATAACAATCTGGATTCATAGAACCAGGGCCCCAGAATTGCTTGGATACAAGCGATCCAGCCCCGCGATTATTGGCGCCAACGTACCAAGTGACACAGCAGTGAAAGCAAAGCCGATGGTAGCTAGGGTCAAACGTAGTAGCTGCTATGCTACAGATACAGCCACTGCACTCGAAATCGAAAAAGGCTAGCCTTCTTTTTTAACAAAGAGGATATGGGTGAAATTCCGAAGGGAAGGTCCCAAAAGAGCCATTGAAATTCGCAACACGCAACGGGAACAAGGAGCTGATCAAATGAACACTGAATATTCGCATTCGCGAATCGCAACCACAAAAGTTACTATCATGTTGGTGATCAGATGCTTCTTTTTTGAGGTTTTCTTTTCTGCTACAGATAGGAGCTATCTCTGTCGAAAACAGTAAGGTTGTTGCAGAGTGACCGATGATTTTTGCCTGCATATGGTGGAAATTATTCTGTGCTGCTCTGAGAGAGATTTGTCAGTGAACAGGATATTATGTTGTTATCAGCGATTGATCTTATCCAGCACGCAATAATTGCCACTAATAGAAATGGTAGAATACTTTTTTCTAGCATGTTGTATTGCGAACTTTGCTTGCCGATCTCGATGTGAAATGGTATAGCGTACGTATATTCACTTCAGTGACCTGATGGTGACATTCATTGTTGGCGGTTCTGCATTTCAGGATCAGTGTCATGATGAATGCTTTAAAAGTGTCAATCAAAGGAAGCATCTATTTCCTGTAGCGATTAGCAGCCAAATTTTCAACTGAAGCAGGCAGGCAAGATCATCACTGAAAATAAATTATGGACTTGGCTTGTCGATCAGCGGCTGCTTTGAGCCTTTGACCATGTTTGGTCGTTTTCGATATGGAGTGAAAGGGAAAAACGATGGCACTGAAGAACATCTGCGAATGGGGCTGCAGCCTGCAGGCTGCAGGCTGCTAAGGACCAACTCTCTTCCATTTTCCCCTACCAGGAAGAATATTTGGTTGACACAGATATCTTTAAATATCGTGCATCATGATTGGTAGCTAGTGCCAAGACGATCGGTTTCATGTTTTTTTTTTTCTCAGAAATTAAAGAGTGGTTGGTTGAATTCCACTATGCGATTCTTGGAATCCATACTTTACCTGACCTTTGTGGATGCGATAAAGTTTATGCTTTTAGTGTCTATAAGACGAAGCTTATTTAGTACTGTTTCCCATACAGGCTTTAAATTTGTGTGATTTTAGGCTAGACATCATACCCTCCCGATCTGATTAAAGTTTGGAATCTGCAGCTAACTAGTCTGTTTGTTTTCTTGCTTAGCTAATACTCCTTCCAATTTCTACCAGAGTTCCTTTGAAACCAATAATTTGGAATGAGTTGCTGCACAGGACTTCTAGAAAATTCACCCATTCCAAACATGGCATAAGATTGTGGAGAGGAAACTCAATCTCAGAAAGTGTATTAAGATGTGCCTACCCTAGTGACTACTTATTACGGTTGTTTTCCCTCCTGGCAGGTCATCAGTAACTAGCAGTTTAATTGATCGATCAACGTCCCCAATAAATAAGACTCTTAAATAGAAAGGCGATCATTTTAGAAGAAAAAAACAGTTAAGCTTTGTCAGCTTTCTGAATCAGCCCAGAAGTCAGTGCAGCAGCCATGACGAATAGAGTTTCAACTCTATGGTCATACAAATTTTGGAGGTCCAGATATAGAAGTTGAATTTCAAACCGAATTAGTAGGCCATTTGCAGGATCGTACTATTTCAACACTATAATCATGCATATAGTTTGCTCCCACAAATAACTTGCAGTACGTATAACCAGAAACACTGACATAACATAAAGTGACATTCTCATTCAATACTTCATATACGAACTTTTTTCCCTGTTGCTCTACATTTGTTCAAGTCTCGGATAGCAAAATGATCAGAAAAGAGCATTACATTACACCAGCAAATTTTAAAACTCCAGCTCCACGTGAATCATGAAATCATAGCTTAACCTCAACATCTACCCCGGCAGGGAGCTGGAGCTGCATCAAGGAATCTATTGTTTGTGCAGTCGGGTACATGATATCAATCAATCGCTGGTGCGTTCTGATCTCAAAATGGAACCTTGAATCTTTGTGCACGTGAGGAGAATTGAGCACACAATATACTCTTCGCTTGGTTGGCAGAGGAACTGGACCCATCGTCTTTGCATTTGTTGTTTTTGCAGCTTCAATGATCTTCTTACAGGAGTCCTCGATCAATGGTACCCAGTAAGACCTCAGCTTAATTCTGATCTTCTGCTTGGGTGCCAACTGAAAACAGAAAACATTGACCCTAAATGGCATTAGTGTTCCAGAAAATAGCAACTTCCACAGGTAAACGGAAGAAACACTGAAGCAAAACATGGAATAATGCAATTGGCGGTAGGATTACAGGAAATACAGTTAGGAAGTTGTCGATGGGAAAAAAAAGCTTTAAATTTCATGTACGCTTAGCATATTCACTACCATTGTCAGAGTTAGCTTGAGTACAATGTGGGAAGCAGTACACACTCAAGTAGAAATATTTTCCTAAATTCTGTAGAATTTGGAAAAACAAAAGATAAACAGTGAAATGAATCAGTGAATAACCATAATAAGGTTATTGAAATAAAACATATAATGCCATGGTTACATTTATTTTAACAATCTTCTCTCACTCATACTTAATAAATTTCAGTACAATGGTAGCCAACTCAAGGTGATGCAATGAATATCTATGATCAGCTCCTTCAATAATACTCAATTCATGATTGCTTATATATTTGTCAAATTCTAGGGCATCCTCTGATGGCACAATATCATCATCAGAACCATGAATTGTCAGAACCCTGCATTTAGGATCAATAGACATGCATGCACTCTTCATATCTATCTTAAGGCGATCCATCAGACTTTCTTTGGTTACACGGTAGATGGAACGTCCTGTTTTCACTCCCACATCAATGAACCCATACCGGTCTATCTTTTCCATATAATCACTTCCAAGACGATCAGCAATTCCACGTCTTAGATCAAATCTTCCAGACATGTTAATAATACTAGCTACATCTCGATGAATGGATGAATACAGGATGACCACATTTCCTCCTTTACTGTGGCCAGCAATACCGCGGGTGTCACGCTTGTGTTTCTTGAAATGTAGAATTACATCACGCAAATCATCCACCTCTTTGTAATAGTTGCCATACTGGAATGTGCCTTCACTTTCTCCATTGCCAGTGAAATCAAAACGAAATACGCTAATATTTTCTGAAGTTAGTGCATCACTGAGACATAGTATGGTTCTACTTTCCTTTGATGACCTAAATCCATGGCACAAAACTACAATATCGTTAGATCCAGCTTCATGCAAAAGACCAACGATTTTCTCTCCATATCTGTTTGTTATCACTATTTTCTCTTGTGATACATTGGAGGAATCACTTAACGAGGAGTGCAATTGTGAACAAGGCCTTGTAACAATTTCTTTTCCAGCAGTAGCACCAAAAAGTAACTGCATACATATGCACGATGGACATGCTTAACACATGGAAGACGTGAAGCAAGAAACAGAGATGATAGGGAGTAACCAGTAGCCACTAACACATGCTAATAGTCTAAGGTAAAAAAGGAAAAAACAGGCCAAAAAATCTCCAGCAGCTAGGAGTCTAGGACACACCTAGGGCTAGGGGTGGTTCCAAGGACGGCATCAAACATGCAGCAGGCACGGTTTTACATAAAAGGATTTGCCAGCTTTAGTGACGACTATCTTTCACTAGACAACCAAAAAGTCAGATTCATTCCTTCGAACCAACATGCAACAGAAGCTAATAGAAGAAATGGTGCCTCTTGCATATTGGAGTAGAACACTACCAACAATACATGTATGCACTAAACATGGAATAACAAAATGTATAACATACAAAATAGAAGATAATCAGAGCAACAGAAAAATGGTTGAGAATGGTTATATAGAATTCAATGGATAATTGATATGGAGAAACTCGCAAGAGTGAGAGGATAAAGCTATCGACAGAACGGAGAGAGATGATAAGGCAATTTCATATCATCTTTAAATTAGCATAGACAAATGGGCTCATCTTTTTTCTACTAACACCAAAAGTGCCTTTGGTGATGTATACCAATTCCAAGGAGGAACAAAACATGAATGATCAGGAAACATTGGAGTAATACAGGGAAATACAAGTGGTTAGACCATTTCATCCAGGAAGAACTCTAGCATTAAGCTGAGCATGGAAATCATGACCACCATCGACCTCCAAACAAACAGCATTTGATGTGTGTGACTTGGTTATTATCCCCACTTCCGTTAAAAAAATCAAGGATATATGGCACCCTGTTTCATGTCACCTCATGCATAATAACACATTAACTCATAAACATTAGGGTTAAAGGCATTATACAATCTACGGTGGCATCCATGGAAGGAGTTCTAGTATCCAAATCCAAATCACAAAGACAAAGTAACCCGTTTGTGCCAACAGTAAAGCCATTAAGACTGAAAAACTTTACTTCACATAATGCCACAACTCACTTACTGAGAACCACATTGACATACAACGTACTCAGTAATCGCTATGGAACAGAATTAAGGATTGCACGTCATTCAATTAGAACTAAGGAATAGAATCTAGATGGTAAGGACGAAAAATTCTCGAAGTGCTCGCATCAATGACATTACTAAAATAAAGCATTAGACGTTTTAACAACGTTAGCTCTAGGATAAGGTACCTGCTCCCCATCATCCCCAATCGACGACGGCATCGGAATCCCCGTCCCCTCCGTCTCCTGAAAGCATAAGCACAGCACAGTTAGCGAACAGATGTGCACTACACTGCACTAATTCCTTATTACAGGCTTACACAATTACACCTCACGAATGGGGTACTAATTTGGCCTACACATATAAAACTAACTGACAGTCTCCTCCTCCAGTAGGAACACAAACAGTCTGAAATGATGGAAAAAAGAGATGCTAAGCATAGGTAGCGGGGCTGGGTAGCCCACGTACCTCGGGCATGTCGGGGATGGTCTCGGCGGGCGGTGCTGCGGCGGAGGCCGCGGCAGCGGCGGCGCGGGAGCGGAGCGGGGGCGCGCGGAGGGGAGGCGGGAAGGAGAGTGCGGCCGGGTTGGGGTTCCCCGCGGCGCGATGGAGGGAGAGGAGCGGGAGGGTGGAGGAGGCGGAGGTGGAGACGGCCATGGCGAAGGGTGGTGGGAGGGGAAGGGGATGAGAGTGGAAGGGGAGAGCAGCAAGTGCGGGAGGCTTCTGCTTCGCCGCTATCGTGGTGTGGTATGTTATCCGATTTCGGCGAATTTGCGTTTTAGCCCCTCGAGTTTGTTAAATTGTGATTAAGGAGGTGTTTTGTTCTAGGGACTAAACTTTAGTCCACGTCACATCGGATGTTTATATACTGGATTGAGATCCTCTAATTTGGAGTATTAAACATAGACTACTTACAAAACTAATTGCATGAGAACTAATCCACGAGATAATTTTTTAAGCCTAATTAATCTATAATTAGCACATTTTTACCGTAGCATCACACAGGCTAATCATAGATTAATTAGTCTCAATAGATGTGTCTCGTGAATTAGTCCAAGGTTATATAATGTATTTTATCATTAGTCTACATTTAATACTTCTAATTAGTATCCCAACATTCGATGTGACATGGACTAAAATTTAGTCCCTAATCTAAACAGAGCCTAAGCACTCAATTGTTGTGCCAAGTGCCAACCATGATGTTAAATTGTGATTAAACCCTCAATTGTTCTATGCGACAAACAGAGTTTTCATACTTACCACAGAATATTTTGTACCGGTGTAACACTGCATTGCACGAAACATGGAAGCAATATCAACGCACATGCTAATTGATTTTGGAACTAGTGAGAATTTGAGCACAAGCACAGTCTGAACTAGAATTTTTGCAGACCTCAACATGACATGATACTGATACACCAGGATGGCAAGAGGAGCCAAATTTAACTAGGAAACATCTATATTCACAGAGCAGTTCCCCTTACATTTTCCATCATTGTCACTAGTGAATTTACGTGTACAGCCACAACATTCACCTCCCCTCCTTATCACCACCATCTCCAGTATTTCTTTTTCCACGTGACAGAAGGTCCAGGCCGTACGGCATACTATGATACGAGGACCCAGCTGATGGTGCTCCTTGCTTAAGCTGCCATGGTGCAGGCTGCCTACTGGGAGAAGGGATCACCTTTGATTCATTTAGCCACCTCTCAGCAAAGGGTGACTTCACAGGCATGTCTGGTCTGTCAGTATCCATTGTGCAGGATGCCTCGTTAAGGTTTATCCCACGGACGCTTGTTTCCGTCTTGTCATGATCCAATTTCGGTGATGAAGAGAATGGTGTTGAAGAGACATTTGGCGTCCAAATTGCTTGATTCAAGTCATGGGTCTCGGTTTTTGCACTCGGTCGACTAAATGGACCAATTTTCTTGTCTTCCTCCTCTTTTACAATGACCATGTGATCAGGCTCTGCAGCTTCTGAGCTCTTTAGCTTAGCACTGTCTAACTGCTTATCTTGATAAAGATCTTTACCAGACGATGAGCGCGATGAATAAATGGTGGTCATTGGGAAAGCTTTCTCTGGTGGTGTAGCTGGTGTATAGTTAGGGGGTAGCAAATCATCCCAATTCTCCAACAGTTCTTTATACACTTTACGCAGAGTAACCTCTGTAAGGCCTGTTACCTTACAGATCTCTGCCTGAGTTTTCCGCTTGTCTTCAAGCTGACACGCAAGATAGATAGCTGCAGCTGATATGCTTATGGGATTCCTCCGTGTGCAGAAGCATTTATTAACAACAACCTCACCAATATGGGCTGCAAGTTCCTGCGGAATTGGCAAGTGATATGTTAACAGCATAACTTAGTTTTTTTTCATGGTATTTCAGGTTTTCAGCTCTTTTGATACCTGAGCAGATTTATTGAGCTGGAGTAGGCTGCAAAACCGAGGCATATGAACTGCTATTGAGTTGCTGTTAAGAGGTTGGCTCAGTTTCAGTGATTCACCAAGTATTTTGATGTATTTTCCAATTTCTTTCTGGGGAAGATTGCTAGCAGTAGAGATTTCCTGGACACAAGAAAACAATGCTTAATCAGTGTTAATTGATAAAGGTAGCATTACATTAAATCAATACGACAGGCCAATAGATTGTGTAGTTTAATATCACATATACCAAAGTCCACAGCTGACTTAACATTTGATTCAACTCTTCACCTATGAAGAACGACCAGTGGTTTTGTCAGGTTAAAAAGGTATTCTCAACATGGTTAAGTTATCCTAATCTACAATAGCTTCAGTGAAAGGCCGCATAAAGTAAAGGTAATCAAAAGAAAGAAAATCTAATCTGAAAATATATATATAATCTTCTATTGTGTTCAACCAATATCATGAATCAAGCTAGATAAAATTTCCATTGTATTTCCCACTAGTTAAAAGTAACATAATCAACAGCTCAACTAAAAAGGTGACATCATTTGAGTGTAGTGCTTTGACAAATTTACTGACTAATGGATAGTCCACAATGCAACATAGTGGGAGCAGAGCATATCATCCAACAGAACTTCCTAGACAACAATCGTTGGTAACTAAGATCCGAAATTCCCAGTATCTAAACAGGTAAGAAGCGAATGGCATTGCGGGGAAATCTCCGTTTCAGAGACTACAATCGTCTGGCTATTCCTGAATCCGACTTAGTTGGAGACGAGAATCATAGAGATAAGCCGCTAGGCCTGACTCACTCTGCACGAGAGCATTTGAACGAACACATCGCGAGCACGAGCACGAGCACGAGCACAAACCTGCAAGGTCCTGGGCTCCTGCGCCTCGCGGATGGCCTGCACGAGTGCGGCCGTGGCAAGCGCCTCGACGCTGCGGTTCCTGAGGCACGTAGCGGAGGAGCAGTCCTTGAAGAGCTCGAAGGCGTGGTCGGCTATGTCCCGGTCCAGCCTCAGGATGGAGGCGACGTCCACGATCTGGACGTAGGCGCGGAGGCTGTCGACGGAGACCATAGGCCCCGCGGGGTCCGGAGTGGAGGAGGCCGCGGATTCGACGGCGAGCGCGCGCTCGAGCTCGGCGAGTTGGCCGGAGAAGGCGGACGCGGAGCGGGCGAGGACGGGGTGGCGCTCGAGGGAGAAGGCCGAGAAGGCGGAGACGAAGCCGGCCGGGAGGAAGGGGTCGTCGTCGTCGTCGTCGTCGCCGGAGGCGGAGGCGGCCGAGGGGGACGGCGACGGCGCGGCGTCGGCGAGGTCGGGGGTGACGAGGGGGAGCGGGTGGAGCGAGGGGAGGAGGGGGAAGAAGGGGTGGGTGTGGAGGTGGCGCTCGAGGACGAGGCGGGCGCAGGAGGAGCACTCGGAGACGGCGCGGGAGAGCGGCGGCTGCGTCGTGACGCAGCGCGCCGGGCCGGAGGCGCGGCAGTAGGGGCACTGCGTCGGCTGCGACATGGCGGCGGCGGCGGCGGCGGCGCGGCGCGGCCTTGGGTATCGGTGACTGATGGACTTTAGGTCTGGATTTTTCTTGCAGTTGGTTCAGCCGGAGTAGGCGACCCGAGGACCCCGTTTCACTGGTCGCTTCCTGGTTGGGGGCTATCGAAGAACTGAACTGCACTGCATATGTGGCCTCCCCAGGTTGCCTTGTGAGAGGAGAAAAAAAATGCTTAAAATGAGATTAGTTATTAGCTAATAATTAATTGAGTATAGATTTTATAAACTTAAAAATAAATTAATATTATTTTTATAATAAATTTTTTATAGATTTTTTTAAAAAATACACTTGACAGTTTAGGAAACGTGAGAGTAAAAATGTATTTGTTCTCTATATGTCCTCCGAAGGAACACACCCAAGCCTTTTCTTCTCCATCATTAAGTCAAATATCACTCAACTATATGCATTGTGATATTTGGAGAGGAATATTTGCAATCCAGGAGCAGCGCATAGAACATCATGCATCTATGCAGTAATGCAATACAGCATGCCAACATCGAAAGAATGCCATAAAGCATCCATATAGCACTTGTGTAAAAAAGATAAGCCAAAACACAAGGGTAGCAGGCTAGCAGCACTTATGTAGAACAGTTGAATACCGCACCGTGTGGCGGCAGCTAGAGCACAAAAACAGCAAGGGGTGTGATCAACGTGATCCATTTCAATTTTTAGGGAACACTGGTTATATCAATCAGTTCGTGTGTGGTCAAGAACTGCCTCATCACACATTAGAATGGGAGCAAGTTATACAATGGGATATAATTTCCCGTATGTTCTATCAGCAACACTTACAATATTGCAAAAGCAAGTACAAGGTGTATCTGTGAATTATTGCTCGTAACGTTTAGTATAGTGATCAGCAACATGGGATAAAAAGAAAAAGAAAGGCAAAACTATTGTTAAGCTTCCAGCTCCAGGAGTGGCTTTCTACACATGACATGTTGTCTTCTCTATCTCAGTATCAGCTCTCATTTACCTGAGATGTAAAACGTTAGTGTCAGCTATAAACAAGTAACTATGCATTATAATCGAAGGGTAAAGCCGTGTTAGTGCATTCAGAGCTATTGGCACATTCTTTCCATATGAATGGTTGGTAAGCGTAGGTAATGCTTGAGAGTGAAAACATCCCAGGACAACATTCAAAGTTACCATGCGCAAATAATTTTTGTGTTAATTCCTAGGTGAAAACGAGGCCATCCAAAATATGAAAACATAGCTTTTTAAGGGAAAAGAAGATGACATTGTGAGTTCATCCGTAGGAACCTTATTTTCATAGGGCCCAAGGTAAATGTCAAACAAAATGTTGCTGTGCTTGTAAAACATAGATAAACAGACAGATTAATTTCACTGCAGTATATTTCTATTTTCTAGGAATGAGAAAACAAACTTACCAAAATTTTGGTATTTCTTCGAGAATTTATAGAATGCTTTCACAATGGCGCCATATTTCATTGAATTCAGTGGTCCCATATGCCTGGATGAGACATGGAAGAGATATTTCAATGGTGGAAATAGTCAAATAGATAATGAGATCGAATTGCCGAGGTGCATGATTTCAGAATATGATTGAAGCATGCAGTCCTTTTATGAAGATAAAGATACCTCTCCTAACATTTACATGCAAACCTGTTAGGACTGGTATATAAATATCTCTTTGGAGGATAATTAAATAGCTCAAAGTATAAAAGAACTATTACTTGGGAACAAGAAAATAGTGACTAGATTGGGTACTGAATGGTTATTTAATTACACCATACATGGGCTTACGCACCTAAAAGCGAAATTGAGTCTGTTTGTTGTAATGCCATATGATCACGCTAAAATTTGAATAATCTTATTCTATAATGATATTACTATAGGCATGAGCAGGAGTTATTCTGTGTATCATATTCTTTCTTTTTTACTCCCTCTGATTTAAAATGAAGAGTTCTCTACTCTTCTCTAAAAGTATGTTGTTATCTGACTTCAAGGCATGTCCTCCATTTGTTCCTCCTATGCCTTTGCTCATTGAATGCTACAACTCCCATGTATGAGGTACCATTTCTAGTGTGTAATTACTACAGGGCAACAAGGTCACTTAACACTTTCTTAATTTCTAAGCATAACTCTATAAGGACCTACATTTGGAATAAGAGGGACAAGAGTGGTGCGCATGTAGTTTGAGTTCATTATCACAGGATCAATGCAAAATGTGAACAGAAAAACTAAAATGACCAAAAAAAAACACATACATTATCTCAGTATACCGCAATCTCCATGCAGGAAAACCTAAATGGCATCTAGCAGGGCCATACACAAGAAGAAGATCAGGTTCTGGTCCACCACAACCTAATGAACGCAGCAGGAACAATTGGTCATATAGATTTATAATGATATAACTGATAAATGAGTATTATAAATTACAACATGCATTAAAAATGGAAGGTTTTCCAAGCATACCTATTGCTTTCAATGCACCGGACATGTCAGCTTCTGTAAATACTATTTCACCATTTCCACAAGTATTCCTATTGCCGTTCACACAAGTTGAGCAAAGTAAGCTGGCTGCTTTAGCAATCCCATCCTTGCCATCAGAACCAGAAATACACTCTATTGTCATCTCTTTATGACAACAGGTCAAAGCTTTTGTATTTGCACCCACATCCTACATGTTGTCATGGACATGAGGGAATATCGAGATCAATGTCATGGAATAAGAAAACAAAGCAACAAAAAGCTCGATTATGTGACTTACCAGATATTTTCCTGAATTCCCATATCTTGAACCATTCATAGCAGGTGCAAATGTTTTCTTCAGCACTCCTATGGTGCAACATAAAGTGTTAATGTGCATCCCTTGTGCACTAGGTCACTAGACAGTGACACAGTGTTGCTTAAATATCAGAAACTAAAGTGTAAAAGGATTAAAAGGAAACATGGCTATAATTTGAATTATTCATCCACTGTTCTCCAAATAACAAAGACCACTGTTTCTCAAAGCCATTTAATTTCTTATACTCATGTTCATTTTGATGAAAGGGAAAATGTTATATGTATGTACTAGGCCACTGGAGATATTCTGCAAAGGAAACAATAGCATTCTACAAATGCAAATAGCAAACTCATTGTCTTACCATCAATGTCATAAAGACATACATACTTCACACCAACATTTGAGAGCCAACATAAGAGCTGATTGATCTTTGCAACATTTTTAGCTTCTCTGCTATCTACCACAACAGCCAAGTGTTTGAGCCTATCCAGTTGGAATTTCCGATACTTTGGAATCAGCCCGAATGAAATGAGATAGCATTCTATACTGTAGATCAGATCAAACCATAAACTGCAAAGGCTGATTGCTAAGTGGACGATGAACCAAAGCAACCCCAGAATCAGCTTGATAATCACTGATGGTCGAGACATCTGCACATCGAGACAGAGGCACAACTTTCAATGTTCTTTCTTCCCCAACAATAGACATATATTTCAGGAAACAGAGAAGTATATCCATTTGCAACAATTGGCTTTGGAATCTAACCCTTAATGAGTTCAAATGATTTAATGGTAATAGCATCTGACAACTGGATTGTTATACCATGCATATTGCTTATGTGTCACAACATTACTCTTGAGAATCTGATACTCAATTCAAACAATACATGAAAACTGAGAATGGATCAGCATGAAACAAAAAGGTTGACATTTACATTGTCCCCAACAAGGCAATAACTTGAAGAACTTGAATCAATTTAAAATAGGGTTGCAATACCAGGAGATCTTTCCAAGGAAAGCCAAGACAACAAATATGATAGCTTGACATAATTGAAATTTTTTTATTGGACTAAGTCAGTATTGAACTTTCAGCTAGGATCATCAAAATAATGGACGAGGTCAACAAGAAAACTTTCAGCTAAGGTCATGATATGTCAAAAGAGACAAATCACAGAAATCTTCTTTATCAAGCAATTGCAAATAGAAACAAATAGGAAACTACTCCAAAAGAAGTTAATGCATTGTCTCTGCTATACTTATCCCTTCCACTCACCAGTACAGACTGTCACTGCAAAAAACCCGTCTGTAAGATTAAAAATAGTACGTTTCTGCAGGACAATAGCAACCCAGCCTACCTACCCTTATTCACAGAAAGAATACACACGCAAGTTTTTAGTCTATATTAATTCAATCTCATTCTATAAATAGGAGGGAAATAAGTCTCTACAGGACGGCAAGAAGAAGAGCTAAATTCACCAGCATCCATACATGTGGAGGAGACTGATTCATGAATAGGGGAATCTCATTGGCCACAAATGCCGCCCTGCACAAGAACCACAAGATAATTATTTCTTGAGAAAGGACAAAGTGGATATCATACATCTAGCAAATTGTGTGAGCGTCAAAATTTTGAGAAGTTGATCTGAACTTATTGTCTGAACCAGGGATTACAGTACCATCCTTCTTAATAAAAAAGAGACTAACAAATAACAGAGGAGAAAGGGAGAGAAAAGAAGAGAGTACAGCAAGGAAATGGGATTATGAGACGAAAGCGAAGGCAAGCAAACAAATCTGACATGGCCTTGGAATCAATTGCGTCACAGCTGAGCTGAGATAGATGAGAAGAAACCAAAGGATGCACCAAGACCAGCTACGATCTATCAAAAAACAGAGAAATCGAATTTGTGGCTGGAGCTGGCAAGAGCTACAATCACAGAACTCTTATGGGTTGTTATATCATAGCGTCTGGCGTATCAGCTGTGCTGTTGACGCATCGTGTTCCTATGCTAGAGACTAGACTACTAGAGTCTTCGGAGAATTTCTCCCCTTTTTCGTTTTCTAAAAGGTTTATTAACTTCCTTTTTTTAGAGGCTTTAGCCAGTGAGCGATTTCCACGGCATCGTTGCAGGTACTAGCTTACATATGCACATGTAAACATCAAGCACCAGTTGAATAAACTAAAAGCCAATGCACCAAACGCGTGGTATCGATTCAAAGTCGAGCTCAATAATTTACTTTGCTCGCATCCAACCATATCTCTCTCGCACGGGCACGGCTTCATGCTGCTCAGTAATGCCGAGGAACTGGTCGGCTGGTTGTTCTTCTCACGCATTGCCACAAACACCTAGCATGCGAACCACGAAACGCACGCGCCAAATAAGGTTTTTCCACGGTAAAGCAGGGAGGGAAGGGGGTTGAGACCTGCTGCATGCTACCGCTCGAACCGAAGGCCGCGCCGCTGCCGCGCTTCCGCCGGTGAGCCGGTCAGCGTCGCATCTGGTGCGGGCGGAGGCGGAGGCGGAGGCGGCTGCTGCGGCCGGTGATGGAGAGAGGTTTGTTTTCCCCAATTCACTCACGATCTGGAGGAGGACTTCGAAGACGAAAGGTGGAGTAGAAAAATACGAAAAATAATCAGGCCGATGACCAAATTTTGACTAGTAATTAATTAATTAACCTATGTACCTGTGGGCTGAAAGCCTGAAACACAATGGGCCTACCTTCCAGGTCTGGGATGCACCCGAGAGGCCCGAATATACCAGCCCATGGTTTCAATCAGCCGATGGGCCGTCCTAACTCCGTCCCAAACCAAAAATATCAAAACGCTCATTCCAAATTCAAATGCATCATCAGCCTTTTATGATTTTTTTTTTGTTTCCGATTGCATATCAAGCGTACATGTACACACATCACTACACGCACAACATCACACTCATCCACTCAAAGAGGCATAAATTAGCGGCAACGTGCTTTATCTCACTAGATTTCTATTAGAAGCTCACTTTCGTATGTATAATATTCGTGGGGTGGTACTAGTATTTGAATCTTGGTGAGTAAAGTTATGTACTCACTGACTCCACCACTACATTACGCATGCTTTCCCTTTATGATTCTATATATCTATATATTCTCAAATAATTATTATCCTTTTTTTCGAGTACAAATAATTATCTTTTTTTCTCGAAAATGATTATCAACCTTACCTACCTTAAAAACACATATATAATATATCCAACAGAGTTTAAATTCTACTCTACCCACGCATGGCACACATATGCGGATCCCTTTTTAATAGGATTTTAGTGAGGTGAGGTATTTGTCACATGTCTCGTCTTTTTAGCTTGTATGACTCTGGATGGGTATATGGTGTACTCCCTTTATTTTAGAAAAAAAAGAATAACTTTTAGTGATGAATCTGATGGTTTTTCTGAGATGGAGGAAGTACATGTAACATGTTATATGGTATGTACATTTACATCTTCTATGTAATAGGAAAAGAATCACACTATTATTAGTCTTCCTCAAAAGAAAGAACATTACTAGTCAATCTCCTCTCAGGGAAAAAATATACGCATTTTCAGTTCATCTCTTCCCTAAGAAAGAGTTCTGTTACTGTGAAACGCTGCAGAACGCCTGAACCCATCGCTGGCTTCGCTGTCGAGTAACAATAAGAATAAGAATCGGATGTGAACACTCCTCTCTCAGTGGTGTCAAACCGAGGCATTGTTGTCAAGATTTCTTCCACGACCCAGCAGCAGTGCTGCTCCGATTCATAGGCTTACGTGGTCGTCGTATTCAGGTTTTCATTTCATGTTTGCCGTCTCAGTATTGCTAATTCTGCAGGGTTTAGTGGACCTGGTATCAGGCCCAATAATGGTGGCAACGGGATGCCCCTTATCTTGGGATACATGGCTATCATGCATCCATGTAAACCCACTATGTTATTCTTCTTATACGTATCGTATTGATTATTTGTGTTTGGACTTTATGTTAACAAGTTGTAATACTCCTTTTTTCGTCAAAGATACATCAATGTTTATATTACTAGTATACTCTTTATCACATTCTGAAAAATTGGCCAAAAAATGGTTTGTGACTCAGCTTAATTATTGCTGCTTACCAATTTCTGGCTTTGTCAAGACGTACAGTGCATGCACCTCAATACTGCAGAAAAGGAACAAAAAACTTTTGGCAGGAAGGAGGATGGATGAGGTTTACAGCTTGGTAATGCTGACAAAGAAACAGATAACTTTGGCAGTGAATAGACTGTTGTCTCAATACAGGTGGCATGGATGCATAGTGTGCACTGTGCACTCTTTCTGAAAGACTGCATATCTGTATCTGTACTTCTGTAGCAATTTAGTGTCTAAACTTCACTGCAGTTTACAAAGGTAATTAGTAGTCTTATGCCAACCAAGATTCAAATGTGGGTGGATGGCTTTTTTTCAAACATGAAAACCACCTGTTGAATATAATGGCAAGTTGTCCAAATTTTGAAGAGAGAGACGTATCAAATTGGACCTAGCCCTTCCATTGTTCAATAGTTCTCCCACCGAGGGTGACATTTTGGGTGCTCCAACGGAAGACACTGAAAGGAACTGAACTGAAACTGAAAGGGAGGACAGGGTCCTTCACTCTCCCACACAGTAGCTAATGCTTCCATTTCATAGCAGCTTTCATACCGGAACAAAATGGGTGAAAGTATCATAATGTGCTCAATGAAACCGAAACGACACCACATAATTGTCCTTGTACAAATCAGAGCATTTTGGGTTGACCTTTATTGTACTAGCCCAATGCTATGAACGTAAGATATTTTTAAAAATGAAAGAATTCTACATGAATGCTGGAGAAATACAATTCTCGTAAAAGAAAAAAACTACATTCCGAAGAAGAACTAAAACATTTAGATGAGCCATTAGTGTCTGAAGGATATTTAGGGGTTGTTTGGTCCTTGATGTACATTGTCAAACCACATCTTAATTAGTCATGCTATAATTTATTAGGTATGTGTTTGTTTCACTACCGTAACTTAGCCTTATCACGGTTTCTTATACTTTGGATCCGTAAGTTATTCACTCATCTTTTTAGCAAGTCATGTCATAAGTGTGACCAAAGATTTCATGGCCACACTTTAGCAAAAGTTAGTTATGACAAATTTAATTTTTCGTGAACGCGTTATGACAAATTTAATCACCAACCAAACACCAAACAGCCCTCAATGCAGCACTTGGCATGCTTTTTTTACTGCCTCCATTTTAGAACCATTGAATTACAGATTTTAAATAGTTAGATTATAATGAACAAAAGTCTAATGCCTATATTCACACATTAATACGACATTGGACATCCTTTTGACGTTTATAATTCTTTTTAGAGAAAAAAGACGAGTTATAAATTTTTTTTATAGAAATACGCAAAAAAACACATATTTGTATAAAGAGGAATAATAGTTACTTACAAATCAAACATAAAATCTGAAGGGGATGGGATACCGGAGCGGAACAAAGGACTTAAGCTACAATTTCACAACCGATTGGGATGACCTAGGGACTCCTGAAACTAGAGACCAAGCGCCGGTCCTCCGCAGCCATAGCTTTCACTACTTCCGCCCAGGGCCGTTGTTGGAGGTTGAAGACCCGGTTGTTTTTCTCCTTCCTGATCATCCAAGCTACTAGCGTTGTTTTTCTCCCTAACGACGATCTTTCGCGACTTTCTTCCTGCGAAGGCAAAGCCACACTGTTGGAAGGAGGCCTCATGCAGAGGGAGGCAATCCGGCTAATTAATTACCCTGAGAACCCATCACCAGAGCTGGCGGGATTCTGGGCAATCAATCAGGACGAGTTATAAATTATAGAGTCTGTTGATAATAATTTAGGAACGGATGGTAGTACAATGATTGTTACTCCTACTTCATACTACCTAGGACGGAAATTGTCGTGCATCCGGCAAGGATGGAGCCGACTGCCCGAGTGCCCGTCTGGATCCTGATCGCAACGGCTGATGGACGCGAGTGGCAATGGGCGGCCGGTTTCACCACTTTCACGTCTGTCTCCGCCGATAATCCCAGCTCTCCCGTCTCCACTTCGTCACGGGCGCGCGCCTGAACCATCAGCCATCGAGGTGTGTCATCATGTCACCCCCTGCGTAATGCCGCGCGTGATCTGATCGCTCTTGACTGCACGCGGACTCCCGGTCGTCCGGCGTGCTGTGCTGTCTTTCGCAAATCCATTCGCAATGGCAGGGCAGGTCGGTCGATCCATCCAGCGAGCGCTAAAGACGACGATTCACTCGCTCACCCGCGTCGAGCTCGTCGGCAGAAGCAATTTTTTTGGTTCTTCGCCTTTTTCTGCGTGATGTCGTCCTTGCCCGTCAATCCGCTTCGTGCACGCGCAAAAAAGAAAGTAAGATGAGATCAGAAAACGAATTGCTGTGACACCGCGGGATCTATCATCGTATCCCATTGCTGAGAACTGAGAGATACTATAGTAATCGGCATGGCTCAGGTATGGATCAAATCATCTTTCGTATTTGCAAGGATAAACAAAGATAATGGCAGGATTGGCAACTTTGCCTGGCCGTTTTGTTATCCTTTTTCCAAGGCCCAATCTAGTTACTCGGCAAAGGAGAAAACGCTGATGAGCACAGAAAGGCGCCATCATTGCATACGCATCAGAGCAAAAAACGATCGGAAGAGGGCTGAAAAGCGTTATGTCGTCATGGACACTGCTAGAAATAGGAGCCCAACTCACGATGTTCCATCGATCTTGTCTTGATAAGCACTTCTGCAGCAAGAGTGCTGAAACAGTGAAACCATCTGGAATTAATCCCTTGCAAAAGGAAGCAAGGTACACCCACCCTCCTCCTCTCTATCCAAACTTTTTCTCACTCTTAAAGATGGCTTTAGGGATTTTTTTACATCCGCACCAAAAGCTTTTTTTTTAAAAAAAAACTTCGAGTTCTGAGTTCTGACAGGCACACGGCCAAGTTCGGCACCTTCGAGCGTGGCTTGCAACACGTAGATAGCACTAGCAGATCCCAAAAGCTAATCCACGTGATGAAGAAGGAATCAGTATAGCGAATGCGCTTTTGCTCTTTACCATCCATCTAGGCATATGCAGCTCCTCAATTGTCGTCCTCAAGCTGCATAACAGCAACTGCACATACACAGAACTGATGCTCTACTGATTGGGAGTGTGCTTTCAGTAACATTGATGCAAAACTTTCTCAAGGTGCATATATATAATCACAGTAGCACATGCACATAAATGATGCTCTACCTATTGAAGTCTGTTTTTCAGTAACACTGATCAGGATGACATACTACTACTTTCTGTTGCACCAATCTGAGGCATCCTGATTCCTGGAGAAGACCGCGGCATATCGCCCGGTACAAGTCATCCATCAAATGTCAGAAATCCAAATGGTTCTATCCCCAGAGCAAACAAGTTTTTCTGTTCTCCAATCTGGAACAGTTCATCCTTCCTATCAGAAAAGGAAGAGAGAGGTTCCAAAGTTTATTTGTTCTGCCCAGATCCATCCTGAACCTTTTGACTCAGCTCTTCTTCCTCGCAGCTCCCAGTAAGTATACATACTAGTACGTGCAGGCAAATAGGCAATCCAAGATATTTTCGATGGTGTCCCCTGTTCTTTATCCGCAGAAAAGATCAGGTAAGGCTAGCTGGCCCATTGACATCTCATCAATCAATCTGTTCGCGAGAAGATGGAACAACCTTAGTAAAGTAGGGGAGTGTTGCTGAATAGGACTGGAGTAAAACATGTGTGCACAATGAAGCTAAGCGATTGGCAGGGTAGCGGGAGTATCGGACACAAAGGGTTTATCGAGCAAGATAACTGTTGCTGCAAAAGCTACATATTGTACTGTGGATTAGTGGAAGTGTGGGTGGAGTAAGATAGCGGCAAAGCTGAACCATTGGATAGGAAAATTTAATACTCCTGCTAATGCTGATCGATTGAATCTACTAAGCTTGGAAAGCTGAGGCTGACAGTGAACTCGGGGGGCTACGTGTAAGGGAGCAACGGGCGCAAAGCTTATAGTGCAGGCCCAACGGATCAAAGCTGTTAAAGTCTTTGATCTGAGACATTAGACGTCAGATCATCAGGCCCCGGTAGGTAACAACTCACTAGCCGCGCAGCCTAAGCTAGTACAGTAAGGTCGATGTCCAACCAAGCTCAAAATTCCGTGGCAGAGATCCTGCATTTCCGCAACCGGGTGGCGATGGCCCTATCGATCGCAATCCGGATGAGAAGAACGGGGAGTAAAAAAGCAGAGCGGAGTAGGAACAAAGCATCAGTTTCTATTGGCAAATGGACAAGCTGCTGTAACTAACAGATGGTGCAGAGGCGGCTCGCTCTTTAATTACTTGTACCTCAGCTGGGCGGCCGGCCGGGCCGTCGCGTCGCGTCGCTCTCGCTGGGCACGGGAAGTCCAGCGATTCCCTGCCACACCCGCGGCTAGCCGCCACACACGCCAACGTCGCGGCGCTTTCCGTGGACCACCAGCCACACAATACTCTCTCCTCCAACCAGTTTCATCTCTCAGCTCGATCGATCGATCGATAGGCTAGCTCCTCCATCCCCGACCACAAATCACCCGGTGCGTGCATATCACACCATCACCACCACCTTGTGCTTGCATTATCACGGCAGTAACTGATCAATATGATCATTTCGTGCCTATGGCACAAACATAGGTGAAGCCTTGGACAAGTTTGCTATACCTACGTAACTACTCCTACTGGCTATTATTACTACACACATCGGCATCAATTCTGAAAATCACTTCGATAAGAAAAAAAAATTGCATTCAAGAAAGCAATCAGCCGTGATGGTAACAGCCCAAGGCCGCAGCTAGCAGCAAAGCTACGATGCGATCTCCGATGGTACAGGAGAGTTCTTGAACGAACAGTACGTGGCTCTACGGCTAGTCACGCGTTGGGATCGATCCGGCGATGAGATCCGTGTGGGGGCGATCGATGCGAGCAATTTGATCCGATTGATCGCGCTAGCTTTGGTATGGAGTATGGACACAATAAAGGCGGGAAGGTTGAGCTTGAATTGGACGTGCAAGCGTGTGAGTTACTACAACTTACTACGTACTGGAGTACTCCTACAACATTGGGTGGTACGTGGCTCTAGCAACCGGAGCTAGCCGGGGTAGGCGCCTACGGTTAGGTCGAGGCGTGTTGCACGGTCGCAATCTACGTGACGACACGCAGCAGTAGAAAAAAAAAATCTGTAGTACGGTCACGATCGCAAGAGAAACACTGAAGAAACAACAGAAAGACAGAGAATCTATCACATGGTGAAAACCGGTCAGTACGTCGCAGTACAAGTTGTTGTACTCCAGTAATATCGGAAGATAGCTGTCGTCGAACCGGCCAAACTGATAAAAACTAGCGTGATATTTACATCGATCCGCAGCAGAAGAGAGGATATCGATCGATCTAGTGGCGAGAACGAGCTCCGGACGGCGCGCGCTGTGCCAAGATGCGCTTTGTCGACGACGGGTCGGGACCGGGGTGGTGCGGTGCGGTGCGATATGCGAGCGCTCGGTGAATGCGACAGAGATGGTGGCGGCGCGCACGCCGGCCGGCACACACCGCACACGTGAGGATTTTGATGCCATTTGCAAGTTTGCAGGTGGTGCGCGCGCCTGGAGGATGCCATGGTGACGGCGGGTTGACGCATTGGAGAACGCACGCGCGCGCGGCCGATGGCTGCCTGACGGGGGAGGTTTTTGCGTGCGCGCGATGGCCGGAGCGCGTGGTGAGGACCCGGCGGTTGATAGATGCTGCATTGTGTAGTACTCTCTTTGCATTGCAGCTGTACAATTGTGGGAGTGTTTTTACGGTGTACTGGTTTAGACGGTTACGTGTATGCCACTACGTACTTTTTGCCGGTAAAATTGAACTCTGCCGAGTAGCTAAATACAGTCTTTTGGCTTTCAGAAATCTGAGGTGTGTACTGCAGTCTTTGGCTGGAGTACTCTTCCGTATGTTGCACTGCTGTTGATCCCGTGACCGGCCGTATGCCACAGCGCCAGGCTGCCAGCGACAGTTGATACTTGATTGGGTCCTGCCACGACTTGCGTATATACTTGCGGTAACCTGTCAATTGGTCATACGTCAAGGGTCAGTAAACCTCGTGCAAATTGCAGTCTTCCAATGACTTGGAGATACTAGTAAGAAAATTTTAGGAGAGCGAAAAATTAGCTAAACATTTTCTTTCGACAAAGCAAACCCCGTTTTATTTTATTTGTTATAGATCATTGATGTGAGACACCATCATGACCGAAATACAATGTTCCGTAGTAGTCTATCACTCAATCAAAGAGCACTATAACCCACTTTTACAAGTAGACAATACGTTCCTCGCCACACAAAAAAAACTTAATTATGCCGCTTATACCGAACGTGCACTGATTGCCCCCCATTTTCCCTTTTATTTTTTTTCGAACAATCACCAGCAGCCCTGCATATAAAAGAGGGCCAAGGGTTAGCTAGCCACACACCACCTCACTCGTGTTAGCTCGGATCTGTAGCAAAGAGCGAAGAGCGAAGCTGCAGCCTGCAGCTACGCTTGTTCGCTTGAGACCTAGGGTACGAGCAACAATAATAGAGAGTGACTGAGTGAGCGAGCACTGAGTAGCAAGGGCCCGGCACAAACAGGACGCAGCCGGCAACGTGTACGTCGAACCAAACAGAGAACAGCTAGCTAATCGATCGGTCGCCATGACCAAGGACGACGCCGTCCCGGTGGCCGTGGCGCCGGCGAAGCGCCCGCCCATCAACAAGTACGCCTTCGGCTGCGCTCTCCTCGCCTCCATGAACTCCGTCCTCCTCGGCTATGGTACGTCACGTTCGTCCGTACGTACGTGCATGCAAGCATGTAAATTAACCGGTTAAGATGTTCAGATGGTAATGGCGTTCTTGATCTGTGTATATGCAGATATCTCGGTGATGAGCGGCGCGCAGATATTCATGAAGGAGGATTTGAAGATCACCGACACGCAGATCGAGATCCTCGCCGGCGTCATCAACATCTACTCGCTGTTCGGCTCGCTGGCGGCGGGCATGACGTCCGACTGGCTGGGCCGGCGGTACACCATGGTGCTCGCCGCCGCCATCTTCTTCACGGGCGCGCTCCTCATGGGCCTCGCCCCGAACTACGCGTTCCTCATGGCCGGCCGCTTCGTGGCCGGCATCGGCGTCGGCTACGCGCTCATGATCGCGCCCGTGTACACCGCCGAGGTGGCGCCGACGTCGGCGCGCGGCTTCCTCACCTCGTTCCCGGAGGTGTTCAACAACAGCGGCATCCTCCTCGGCTACGTCTCCAACTTCGCCTTCGCGCGCCTCCCCGTCCACCTGAGCTGGCGCGCCATGTTCCTCGTCGGCGCCGTGCCGCCCATCTTCCTCGGCATCGCCGTCCTCGCCATGCCGGAGTCGCCCCGGTGGCTCGTCATGCGGGGCCGCATCGAGGACGCGCGCCGCGTGCTCCTCAAGACCTCCGACTCGCCCGACGAGGCCGAGGACCGGCTCCTCGACATCAAGAAAGCCGTCGGCATCCCCGAGGACGCGTCCGATGGCGAGGACGTGGTCGCCATCGTCCGCGCGAACAAGGCCTCACAGGGAGAGGGGGTGTGGAAGGAGCTGCTGCTCAACCCGACGAGGCCCGTCCGCCGCATGCTCGTCGCCGGGCTCGGCCTGATGTTCATCCAGCAAGCCACCGGCGTCGACTGCGTCGTGATGTACAGCCCGCGGGTGTTCGAGCGCGCCGGCATTAAGTCGAAGACGAACTCGCTGGGGGCGTCCATGGCGGTGGGCGTTTGCAAGACCTTCTTCATCCCGATCGCGACGCTCCTCCTCGACCGCGTCGGACGGAGGCCGCTCCTCCTCGCCAGCGGCGGCGGCATGGCCATCTTCCTCTTCACCCTGGCCACGTCCCTGCTCATGATGGACCGGCGGCCGGAGGGCGAGGCGAAGGCGCTAGGCGCCATAAGCATCGCCGCGATGCTGTCGTTCGTGGCGTCGTTCGCCTCGGGGCTGGGCCCCGTCGCGTGGGTGTACACGTCGGAGATCTACCCGGTGCGGCTGCGTGCGCAGGCGGCGGCCATCGGGACGGGGCTGAACCGGCTGATGAGCGGTGCCACCACCATGTCCTTCCTCTCGCTCTCCAACGCCATCACCATCGCCGGGAGCTTCTACCTGTACGCGTCCATCGCCGCCGCAGGGTGGGTGTTCATGTACTTCTTCCTGCCGGAGACCAAGGGCAAGAGCCTGGAGGACACCGTGAAGCTCTTCGGCAAGGACACAGACGACGACGATGACGTCGACACTAGCCGCCATGAGCGCAAGAGGTCCACTGAGCTGAGCGCTCAGCACTGAACAGAACACGTCCGTCCCGAGTCCGAGTGTGGTCGAAGCCTATTCGTTCTCCGATAGAAAAAAGCTTCGACATCGTGTGTTGCTTTGTGAATCTTCAGATTCTGGCCACTTAGGTTAGATTGCTAGACTTTTGGATCTCGTGCACATCAGCTTGTTGGCCTTAGCCAACATGTAGGGACATTGAGCTGCTTTACGGGGGAAAAGATCGTGTGATATTCCACACTGCAGGGACGAGTCCACGTAAAAAGGTCGCAGTCACCGTTGCGGTTACGCAGCTTGGCACGGATCTGTGGGTCTTTTTCACCCTGTACAACAATTCAACCGGCCAATCCTTCGACGACAGCATTGAGATCCAGGGAGCCAGGGTCTACCTGGCTATGTTTTCTTGTTCAGATATTACCGTGGCAGTGTAATTGTATACGAGTCTATAATGTATATAGCTTTTTATGTATATGACTCGATCACTTTTGTGTCCCTGTGTGACTGTCGCTTAATATAAAGGAGATTTCCTTTTATTTGTTTTACTGTACTGGTGCTGGAACACAAAATTTCATTCATTTCTGATTTTTTGGACTCGTTTTTGGGACAATCCACAGGAGATCTACGTGTGCGTCACTGCATTAAGAAGACAAAGCGCAGACTGGCTGCTAGGCTCATGCAATACACATTTTGGGTCCAGATGGGGACGTGTAGTAGTTTTGATTGAAAGGACGAACTATTATGATGGCATGATATGCAATTCATCACAAGGCAAAACTATTTTCGTCATGTTTTATATAGATCCAAAAAGTGAAGGTCCTTTGGAACTAGTATATCGCTATTTTTGATTTGAAACGAAAAAAAATCTAATATGTCAAAGATATGGATACCACATACCCAATAGTGATTGACTAAGCTCGGTGGGACCCACCATGTACCAAGTCTTATACGGAATCATACCTCGTATATAGAAGGAGTTCCGGATAAGGATTGATGAATAGAGTTTTACATGGAAACAACAAAGGACTACTCACATCGTATCCATATTTATCTCCCTAGTTTTACTTGGACAAGAAGGCACCTATGAGTATAAATACAAGCCCACTTAGGAGGAGAGGGGACACCCACCATAGACGCACAATACACAAGCCAATATACGCGAAGACAAGTCGCCTGATATCAACATCAGATATAAGCCTAGACATACCCCATATGGTGCCTACGGAAGCCGGCAAGAGGGATCTAGCGTCATCTGTGATCTCGACAAGTTCGTGCTCAAGGAGGAAGACTACCCTGTCGTCGACTATGAGTTGGTTATCTAGCCGCCAAGTCGATGATAGTTAGATAGGTTATCCCAAATATTGTACTTGTATGATCCAGATGAATAAAGGAGCAATAATGGCTTCGGCCAACAGGATGTAGGGCTATTACCTGTCAGATAAGGGGCCCGAACCTGTATAAAAATCCATGTATCCATCTCTTTTACCTCAATCTCGCATATACCTTGGTACCGACGATCCCCATACCATCCAAATACCGTAGTCGCGATATCAAACGTCGACATAATATCATTATTTTTCTTTATACAGCATACACCCTTTTCTTTAAAGAGGTGTTTGAAGTAAATTGCATTACGAGTACACGAATTTAAGACAAGATATGAGTACGAAATTGCAAAGAACTCATTTCAGTATATTAACTTTGTGTGGTGCATATGAACTAGGCCAAATGGCATATCATTATCATGTCTAAGCTAAGTTGGACAATATTTAGGATACCACAGATACATGTCACTTTAGAAAACGATTTTTATGGCTCCCTTTTTTATTAGACGGGCTAAAAGAAACTCTGTTTGTAAAAATATTTATAAGGTGCCCAGTACAGTCCCGTATGCGAAAATCCATTTTCGCTAACAGACCTCTTAAAGTAATGCTTGCAAGTCTAACCGCCCTCATCTTTTCCTCTCTAAATCTTCAAAATTTTCCTCATCCTTATCTCCTCACCTCCTCATCCTTATATCTCTCTCAACTCCCCCCCTCTCTCTCTCTCCAATCTCTCAACTCTTCTCTCCCTCGCCTCCCCCTCCTTCGTCCCTCCTCCGCGCGCCCTCTCAACTCCATGAGCAGGAGGGTCGGTGGTTGGCGGCAGGCACGCTCAAGGTTCAGGGGCTCAGGAGCGGCGACGCAGAGGAACTTCAAGAGGGCGACGACAACAGCGGCCTTAGGAGTGTCTGTAATGTGGATCCACCGGCGGGGACCTCGGTGACATCGGACCCGCCAGTGTTGACCTCGGCTATGGTGGATCCGACGTCGGGGACCTCGAGCGGGTGGCAGCGGTCTCGCTTAGGAGCGGCGTCAGCGGGCTCGGTGACGCAGATACAACGGTGGCAACCTCAGCGATGGTGCATCTAGCACGAAGGAGATCGAAGACGGCATGGGCGCCTAGCATCACTGCTGCGATGGTGTGGTGGCTAGGGTTTGCTAGGATGCATGGGAGCTAGGGTTTGATTTTGGAATTCTTTTTTTTCACCGAAATTCTTTTTGCATATGGGCAGCATAATGCACTCACCTGCGAAAATCCCTTTTTTCACTCAATTGCGCTGCCCGACTGGAAAATTCCTATTTTCGCAGACACATGGATGCAAGCGGGTAGGCATTCTTATTTTCGCAGACACATGGATGCAAGCGGGTAGGCAGCTGATTTACCCGCTTACGGAAAATGGGATTTGTCCGCTTGCGAAAATGATTTATTATGTAGTAGTGTGTAAAGAGAGATCATGTGTCATACTATATTTGCAAAAAACATTTGCCACTTTATTATATTTTATTAGTCATATGATTTTATTATTACATCTCTTCTTTATTTTTATGCGTCCTTATATAATCATCTTTTTTTAAAAGGGGATATTAGGGAATAACCTAATATCAAATAACTAAAAGGGGTAAGGCTTCAAACCCAGACCAGCTAGCCCACCACCTTATGGAGCTAGCTGGAAAATCCCTGGGCGTTTCTCGACGTGGTGTCCTTACATGTATGCCTGTGTGGTATCCTAACACCCAAATTAGGAAGATTAACCATATTTTGCCATTTTGATCTTGGTCCCACGTACCACACGAGTTAGTGTATTAGGATAAACGCTCCACAAGTTGAATTTGCCCGGTTTAAAGAGTACATAGAGATGAAATATCTGGTATTTTAATTAAGGGGGTAAATCGAACTGCTGTAAAAATTCAGAGGGTTAATTTGAACTTTTTTCACCAGTCTAAAAAAAATTTGAACTTTTTCCGATTGTATATCCACCTTATAATAAACTCGTAGCTCATATACTGTTAGAGTGTTAGTGTTAGTGATTTCATCCTTACAGGGTTATAGGAGGCTTCTGGATTAATGCAAAGTGCTAGAAAGTAGGAACAAATAAACTGAAAGTGCACCAAATCTAGCCTTGGACCACAAGGTAGTTGAATTGTTCAATAGTACTACTGTAGTTCCTACAAAATTATCGTGGAACTATAAATTACCTTACTCATACAAACATCTGGTTACTTTCCGCCGCCCCACTTATTGGGCATTATGCATGTTCTTATCATATCATAAAGTAGAGAATTGCTGGCAGGTTTTCATATGCCATGGGTCGATCATGACTCTCCACAACAAATTTGTGCGACTATCGTTGGCTTCTTAATCACATCAGGTCCCGATTTCATATCTGCAGATGATACAGAAGTTATTAAATCCAGGGAAGTCCTTCTTCGTGTAATTACTCCTTTTGTCTTGTTGATGAGGCACCAGCAGGCTAATAACCCAAAAGCGCACCTGTCCTGTTTGAATATTCCCAGAGAGCCACCAGACTATGTCCAGATCATCAAATGTGAATGGACCCAGCAAATTTGTATGTACCAGAAACTTTTCCTCAGTATACGGTGTGTTTAGTTCCACGCCAAAATTAAAAATTTAATTAAAATTAAAAGTTTAAAGAAAAAAGTTAGAAGTTTATGTGTGTAGGAAAGTTTTGATGTGATGAAAAAGTTGGAAGTTTGAATAAAAAGTTGGGAACTAAACAGGCCATAATTGGTGTGTTTGTTTTGCGTACTACATGTTACATCTGGTGAGTTGTAGGTACTTCCTCCGTTTCACAATGTAAGACTTTCTAGCATTGTCCATATTCATTTAGATGTTAATGAATCTAGATATATGTATGTGTTTAGATTCATTAACATCTATATGTATGCGGATAATGTTAGAAAGTCTTACATTATGAAACGGAGAGAGTACATGGCAAATGATTTGTACATATATGCAGTACCATGTATGCCATTTCCTCCGTAGGCATTGCCGACTTCAGCCCCGGCGAAGGCGTTGCCGACTTCAACTCTAGCAAGGCAACAAAAGCTAAGCTCGTCCCTTTTGTGTAGCTTAAACCTTTCAAGAAAAAGCTGGCTTCTTCACACTGAATCTTTCTGCTCTTCTAGGACTAATAATTCTACTCCCATCATGATGAAAGCTTGACACCATATGTACTCGTTAGCATGATCCAATAAGCACAAGGAGTTCCATCGACATCTGTTACGTAGGATTGATTTGATTCCCTACTGTACCAAAATTTGATGTGGTCAAAATTTTAGCAAGAGAAACTACTAAACCAAAACATATGGTGCACGCATGAGCGCATGCATGGCTCTGAGGAGCTCCGTCGTCAGTGTCAAGTTTTGCACTGTCCTTAGCGCAAATGAGCCTACAGCTCGATCTACAGCCATGCTGATATCGTTGATCGGAACATCGAAACTACACTTCACCTACCGTTCCAACAATTGATGGCCACCAACTCCTTCAGAGCTCTAATCAACGTGACGATGTCCGGATGCGTAGCGCGTCGTCTCGAGAAGTTAATGCACTTCAACTCCGTGATGCTCGTGGGCATCAAGAGCCCAGCGCACCGGAACGTCGGAAACGACCAAACGAGCGCCGCGTGAGACCCCCTTCCCTCCTATTCCCGGCTGTTGCTACTGGACTCCGGGAGCCCCGGTGTAACACGCACACTGGCAACTGGGCCCCGCGGTGAACTCCCTCCTCGCCTATCCGGGCCTTTGTTTGTCGGCCGGCACAAGTTGCGCTTGGCCCGTGCGATTGGGCCTCTTCCGTGCCGTCTCCCCGCTTGCTGCTGGCATTGGGCCGCTGGGGCCGCAGCGCTTCCGGCCTCCGACGCTCCGATGTAGTGGCAAGCGGCAGGCCGATTTTGTGCGACCGCTTTGCTAAGCCCAAGGCCACCCTGCGCTCTTTTTTTTTTCGAGAACTCTCTGAGGTCATTGAATATCGATGCGCCAATGCGCAGAAGTTTCGTCTGAAGAAAAAGTAGGTTAACCCCTGTTAATTTGTCAGAACATTTCTAAAGTGTACAATTTTTGAACAAAAAGTAGGTGACTGGTCTTAACCACTGTTAATTTGCCGTAACATTTCTAAAGTTTACGATTTTTTTTTTGTTAGGGGACACCCTACAAACTGAGTAATTTAGTGTAGGACATCGTACTGATTGTACTCCCTCCATCCC